ACACTGTAACATTACGTGACTTCTAGACCCGTTTTGAGATAGTTTAGATCGTTAATACTTAAGATTTCATCTTGTGTTCTTTAAAGGACAAAGGATAACACACAGTTATTAAATATATATATATATATATATACACACACACACACACACTTTATGGCTCCATGGAATAAACATAACTCTCCTTTTATTTGGAAAAATTATTCATAAGCTTTCTAAAAGTAATAGCCTTTTTTTATTTACTCATTTTTGCAAGAGTTGGGTTAGTCATGTAGAAAAAAGAATAAAGAATAAAGGGAGAAAATAAGTGTGGCAAAAATACAACTGATGTTGGGGCAGAGGAATCTCTTTAGATGTACAGAGAAATTTTCTATTGCAGATCAGAAAGTTACTTGATTCTAAAGTTGTGGAAAGCAGAAAATGTGTTATATATATGCATGTGTAATTATTTTGTGTCGTTAAATGGGAAAATAATGTAAATTCACCACAGCAAATTCTTTAATCCTAAAACAAGGTTTAAGTGAACAAAGAACAATACTTTCTTTCATCTTTTTTGGCTTGTTTCCACTATAGTTTTACAGTTTAGTCTGATAGTGGGTCTATTTTTCCCCTCTTGCCCACAGTTCTTTAGCTTGCTGAACTGTCTGTGTTACTTTAAGGAACATGAGCAAAAGCTATTACAAAGCATGCATTTTTTTGTTCCTGTGTGTGCATCCATAAATGAGAAATAAAAAATATCAGAGAACTCTGTATTGTCATTTGATATGCAGACTCCTGTTACTGTATGTTGCTTTCCACGTGAAGGAAGTGCTATGTCAGACCAAATAGGTGGAGAGAGGCAATCACCAATACACTGAAGAAAAGAAACAAGTGGTTTTGTGTATACAACAGAAAGGGTGAACTGAAGGTTTTGGGGTTTTATTTTTGCCAGTTGTGGTGGAGGAGATGCAGGAAAAGGGTTTTGTACTGTCCCTTCTTTTGGGAAGGGCATTTTTGCTTCCAGGTGACTGAGCATTTAAAAGACTCTTCTTCTGATAGTGCTTGAACATGGATTTAAGTTTAGATTCATTATTATTTAAGGAACTTCTTATTACTTGAGCTATTACAAAGCATGCATTTTTTTTGTTCCTGTGTGTGTACTCATAAAGGCGCACACTTCACCTTGAATATATGTTATGTATATGAGTTTCAGTGTGCTTCATAAAATTCACAGGAAAACAAGTTCCATGTCCAAGGAGACTTGTGTCTGAGACTGAACAAAATAGGGAACTTTGGTGAACTGCTAATGACAAAGATTTGCACTAAGAAAGTGTCTGTATATATTCCAGTCTCATTCTTCTATCCATTTTTTTTACTATCTCTGGGTGTGCATTGCCCTGTTAAGCAATTTAACTTTCAATTTTCATTTGTAGATTTGAAGAAGACTCTTGCTGTCTTGTTGGATAATATCTTGCAGCGCATTGGGAAGCTAGAGTCCAAGGTGGAAAATCTCGTAGTTAATGGAACAGGAGCAAACTCTACCAACAATACTACCACTCCTGCTCCCAGCTTAGGAGCAGTCGAAAAACTTAATGTAGCAGGTGGGTATGGCAGTTGTGCAATATATTTATGGGCTTTTTAATCTGTATTTTTCTCTCTTGGCCAGAACATGGTTTTTCAGTGTTAGATATCTGGACTGTCTTAGAAAACAAAATTCAAAGTCTAGCCTGTATCAATGGCAGTCTTAAGTCCAGTGGTCTTTTACAAGCTCAGAGGAAGACTTTATTCTATGGTAACTTGAACACATTGAAGAAAATCAAATTATCTGCCAAAGGGTTGTAGTCTACTTTGTTCACAGTAGGTGTTTCATACTTTAAATGGTTGCACTTTAGAACAATGAAACTGGGCAGACGTTTTCTCTCTAAGCCCGATTGCTTGGGTTGGTATGAATCTGCTCTGGTTTTATACTATATGCACTTTATTGGTAATTAGCTGAAAGAAAAGGTGTATTATGTTTGTTCCTGGTTATGATTTAAAAATGTCCTTCCCTGCTCTGCTTAATAGCTCTTATGATTTGACACACAGAGATGACCTACCTGGTACATTCAGCTTAAACAAATACGTGTTTTAAAACATACTTTGAAGTAATTAATTTTGTCTTCAGTGGATGGACTGTTTGCTACCCTTACAACTTCTCAAAGCACTTGGCTCTTCCTGTGGTGGTAGAATGCCTTGCTAGCCTCTTCACCTGCATGTCTCGGTTCCTTTAGTGTTCCTAGCTGTGAATGTGGTTGGTACACTGAATAAATCTTGTTATTTATACTTCCTGGTCTCTTGCCCTGCATTTTGCTCTGCCACCAAGTCTAATCAGGCTGTCCTGCCCCATAGGAAGTCTGAGTCTGCCTTGCTAATGACCTTTGCAGTCCCAAAAAGGGAGAGCAGAAGAGTTGGGGCAACTTGGTAAATAGGTTAATAGCTGTGCTCCTAGGTCTTGCCTATGTTTGAGTTTCTTGTAAAAATAAATGGTTCTTTTGACAGGGTGTTATCCTTTTAAACTTGTCAAAACAGAGAAGCAGATGCTACCTTTGGTGGGGTAATACCACTGGCAGGAAGTCTGGGAGAGCAGATGTACAAGTGATTACCTGATTACAGTGTAGCAGCAGAGCTGCTGAGTCAGCTGCTCTGTCCTGTCTGTATTTGTCTGTACCAGAACGTTAAAGGCACACTATCTGTTGGTGGTACAGACCTTTGTGTCTCTCTTGACACACAGTAAAAATATATTTATATACATTTACAACAGCCCTTTGCATGTGTGGTTTGCTACTGCTTGCTGTGTGGTACTTTTTCTTTCCCCCCGTGTCTCTCATCTTGGTTAGACTGAAGGCAGATTAGAAGCAAGCCGTTGTGGTGAGCCATGTTGCTACCACAAGGAATACAACACAAGATCTTTGTTAGAAGATCTTCCACCTCAATGGAAGGTGAGCTAGTACAGTCTTGTTATAGTTTCTGGGCTATATATGAAATGAAAAACAGCCCTGTATATTTTCTTTTTGTAGCTGGACAAAAGAGAGACTTAATGCAGTTATTTCAATAGATTGGCAGATAATTGGAAGAAGCATACTCATGTAGTTTGTTGCTTATACATTTATAGGCAAAGGATTGTTGTTCTTATCTGACTAGGAAACATCTCTTATCCATTCTTCAGGTGAATTGAATTTTGTTTGTTGTTCTTGGAGTGTCCTAGATTCATAATTCTCACAAGCAACGTTTAAGGAGCTTGGTAGGAGCTTTCAGTTTGCAGTGTTTACATATCTTTTTTGCTGCCTGAGGCTTGCTCTGTGACAAGGCACACTATTTGTCTTATTAGAGCTTTAGTTTTTTACCTTTGAATTTTGATACTCTAACTTTAAAATATCTGAAGACATTATATTAAACAGCAACAACAGAAAAACCTTTAGGAAACAGTTTCTTAAGGTTTGATTAATGTATTGTTCTGGTGCCTGTTTGGATGATGTTACTGTTAGGGTATCTCCAGACTGGGTAGTGCCAATGGGTAGAACAGAGCTTGAAGCTAACCCTTGTGTTAAAGTGCCTGTTATTCATCCATTTGAAGCAATCAGTAGAAAATCATCTGAGCAGAGGCAGCCAAATGGCAGTAAAAAACTTGTTTCTACTTCTGTCTTCATAGCAGTTTCCTGACAGTGACAAACTCTGGAAGCCATATGATTCCAGTAAAATCATAATATAAATATCTTCTCTGTTAGGAAGGAATTGTTCAGAAAATAAGCTAGGTGAGTAAACATTGTGATTACAATCCCAGCCACAGCATTGGTTTTGTCTGTTATATTTCAACAGCATCCTTTTTTATTGTGCTAGAGCAATTGAGATAATCTGAAAATTGTTGTAGAGAAGGCATTTTGTTACCCAACAGTTTGTCATTGTACTGGAGCTGAAACACCTATGTATACAAATACATGCTACTTCTATTGTTTACTTTATAATAGTTTATTCAGCTGTTACACTATGAAGTGATCACAGAATGCAACCATGTTAAGATTACCGTTTCTCTCTTTATCAGCTGTAATGTTTTAATTCTGACTTTAGATAAATTAATGTTAGCTATTGTTAGTAATTTCACTCTTTCTGTCTGGACAATGGTAGTACTTATGGAACATCCTAACAGCATAATATTTAATATTTTTAGTAATGTTTTTTAAAGACTGCTTTATTTTGGTTTTGCAAATCTTTTTTGTCTCAGAGTCACTGCTTGAAACTCTGAAGTAAATTAAGCGTTTTATAACATCATTCATCAGTGCAACAGTGGAGTGTCATTAGACTTTTCCTAGAAGAGTCCTGCTTCCAGTGAAACTACTTCAGGCATTTATTATTTTTGGATTGAGCTGTCACAGTACACTGAGACCGGATTCTATAGCCTGTATAATCATGTCCCATTATCTATGGAAAGACTTTCTGAAATAAGTACAGCTTCATGCAGGCTTAAGCTGCACTGTACTGTCTATTGACATTGCTTGTGAACCTTAGTAGTAAATAGTGGAGTCACTAATCATCCTGAAATCTGCATGTTGTCCTCACTGACCTTGTATGAAGTTTAGTGTGTGTTATGTACTACCTGTGTAGATAAAAGTGATAAAATAAGACGTACTAGAATGACAGGAAAGTGATTGTACTGTAAATATTTGTCCTCATTGCTGATTATGGCTCCACACAAACTCAAGAGCAAAACATAGTATTTTTCTTATAATTTAAAACTGATTACCACAGCAGGGTGGACTTGTCGGTCTGAACGTGCTGTGGGCTTTTCTCCATTGTGTGCCTTAAGCATTAGTAACACTTTCATGGAAAAAAGATAGTACTCTTTTACCTGCAAACTAGGAAGAACAGATGATGATGATCAGTCAACATTTGTCCTCCCAAAGCTCTCTGCAAGTGGAATTTTTTTTAATTAGGTATGTTTCTGTATTCATAAATCAATCCTAAGAACAGTGTCAATATGCTACAGGTAATGGATCATGATAATGCAAGAATCCTGGTTTAGTTCTATGGTCAAGTTACTGAAATCAGTCCAGGGTACAGTTTTATCTGGCTTTAATAAATACAACTGGTATGTGATCATGACTCAGAGTTATGGATTGCAAAATTATTTTCTGTGAGATTCAGGACACTGGCAATAGGACCAGATAGGGATTTCTTTTAAAGAATTTCCACTCCTGTCCACCTTTTCTGTATAGACAACTGGAATAATAGTATAAAAAGGGAGTATTTATAGTCTTAGGATGTATGGATGTGTTCTTCAGTTCATGTATACATTGTTTTTAGCGTAGCTCAGATACGAGGTTGAATGTGACTGTGTAATTAATCCAGGTAACAATGAAGAGAATGTATGTTGAGGAGTGGTTGTCAGTTACAAAGTGGTTGAAAAATCAATTTGATTAAAATGCTGATGTTAATCAATGAACTGAGGTCAGAGGGTATTTAATTTTTGCCCAGTATACCTCTTGATGGCAAAATTATGTTGGTCTGGGAAAGTTCTTACTTGTAATTAATAAACTTGCAAGGTTTCTTCTTCTAATGCTCTGCATTTGAGCTAAAGCCATCTTTGGCTACCACAGTTCCTTGATATTGGGACACGGACTCTATCATTCTTCTTTCTAATAAAGAAAAAAAATCTACGTGCTTTTTGATATTTTTAATATTCTTTTGGGGACGTAGATATCCAGACTTTGAGAGTGGTCACTGCAGCTACCAGGGCAAACAAATTTGAGTAGTTCATGTTCCCCTGAGGAACAGATCTGCTCTGTGCTACTGGGCAGCAGTTGCTTGTAACTCGATGACAGTGTTAATAGAGGTATACACAGGCTTTGCAGCCTTACAGGTGTAAAAGCAGATGAAGAAATTCTTCTGAACTGTATGGATGAGAAAAGACTTAATAATAATGGGTTTTATAGCTCATTTTAAAACAACTGTAACTACTGTTTGTTGTCAGGATGTCATTTAAAGGACCACCAAATGTCTTCTAAAACTTTTATGAGCAACTTCTGTGGGTTTTTCTGATGAATAAATGATAGCACCAGTAGCAGAAAGATTAAGTAGGACAGTTTCCTGAGGAAAAGAAAAAGCATTGTTCCACCTCTGGCTGTCAAGCATGATGTAGAACTGAGGCGGCAGTGGTGAAATCTGCGCTGGAGAATATCACTTTGTGGTGGTGTGTAGAGTTTTTGGCAGATAAAAGGATCTGCAGAAAATCCATCTGGATTATACTCATTCATAATAAGATGATGATAACAGTTGGCAGGAGGAAATGTTGAGGATTTAGCAAGGACTGTAACTCAGCTGTCTCTGAAGTAGGTGAATTCAAACTTCCATTTGTTTTTGAGTCCCCATTGAGAGACCAGAAATCTCCCTCTTCCTTTTCAGACTCTCAGACAACTAGCATTGTTGATTTGTATGTAGGCTGTAATCTGTGTGTATTCTTATCCTTAATGAGTTTAGGTTTAGTGTTTGTAACGTGGTGCTACACCTGGTTTCTTCCTCTGAAGTTAGTTTTGCAGAATCATTCATTAAGAGCATGAGCTCTTAGAAT